GAGCTTGTTACTCGAGGGCCCAGGGCGGGTTTCTTGTTGAGTCTGCCTGTAAATTGCCACCAAACTAGTGAATTACTCCATGATGTGTCGCGGAGGCACCCGGAAGCCCTATAGGCACCGACTTATGTTTTCCCTCACCGTGATTCTTCACTGACAGCTCGGGCAGCAAACTGAGATGTCTCAGCTAGAATCCAAGAACTCCATATTCAAAACAGCTGGCTGCCACTGCTGCTTGAGTTTCTGATCGATTTAATATACGAGTGTGCTGCTACTTGTTTAATAAACAATGGCACATCATTTTGGGGAAAATATTGGGATAATTTGTCAGGGAAACTGACAAATTGACAGTCCTCCCAAGAAGGAGACTAAGACTGTACGGGCATGCCGTGTGAGGCTGTTCTTACTTAATATCATTATCATATCATTAATATTGCAGGTATACGGTCAGAAACCAAGGTATTGAACAAATGACATGTCTGACTTAATGGCGGCACTAGATGAAGAGTTAAGGGGTTACTGAAGCAGTAATGTCTGGACCAAATTTCATGGCCATCCATCCAATAGTTGTTGAGACATTTCACTCAAAAGCACAAATGTCAGGCTCACGATGGTGTTAGGGAAAATGTCGGGAAATCATCTGAGTCATTAGGATTCATCGTCTGCTAACATGAACGTCTGTACAAACGTTTGTGTCAATCAGCGGATTAAGACTTAATGCATATCTGTACCAAGTTGCACTGCAATCCATCCAGTTTGTCGAGACATTTCACTACAAACATGTCAACTTGCTTGTGGTACTAGGATCACCAAGGTGAACATCAATCCCTTTTTAAAACGTGTGATAATGAAGTGTAATTAGTTATACACACTTAATTGCATTGGAGACATACAAGCATAGCTTAATTTGCGAGATAGTTGTCTATCAGCTAAAGTTAGAAGCCATCTCTCAATCTGGTCGTTTAAAGGGGGGTTTAAAGTTTGCCCACAGTAAGATAGTCAGAATTCAGTTCACTGGTGAACATTTATACAAGTTACACCAGGCTGTAATCTTTTTCTTTTTCTCGAGAACCTAACCCACATCAAAGAAAATTGATCGACAGTCAACGCATCATAATGTCTTGTGCCGTTTAAGTCAGGAGTTATAAAGGACAGGGCATACACAAACACTATGTTCTCCTTAAGCCTTAATCCTGGACACTATGTCTATACTGGAAGATTCTTCTCCTAATGATTTACATCCAATGTCTGGGTTGCGGACCGGCATGTAGCTTGTCTGACTTGAATGCATGAGTGTCCCCCTTCATAGACATATTTATTTGGCATAATTATGTTCATTGCATATATATTGTGGTGATCGAGGATTCGGAAAGAAAAGATAGAAAAGCCAAGCACTGGCACAATGATCCAATACTGATGTTCTTGTCTGGCAAAGGGTTGCAAAGGCAGAACAAAATCTGCCAGTGGAGCCATTATTATACCTAAAGACAGCTGAGCGATGGCTTCCACAAGTGGTGAATGTACTCCTAATATACTGACTGTGCACAAATGATGTTGTGAGACCAACAGAATTTATTTTCTTCACAACTGCAGGGATTTGTGTCTTACAGCTGTCTTGTGTTCTAGTGTGAAATCCAGGCTTATTGATTTCTGTGGGCCTATATTCTCAAAGGATACGGTGTGTACTTGAGGAGAATTCATTTTTTTTTTTTTTTGTTATCGCTTGAATCAGATCCTTCACCTCTCAATCCCATGTCTGCACCACACAGTATACTCTTCAAATTATCTCAATGGAAAATAACCCTTTTAAACAAGAGGCACCTTGACCCCACCGACATCAAATTAACTCTTATCGTGGCGGCAGAGGCAGAGGAAAAAACAATTCTGACGCTTAAACATCATAAAAGCATGACAGGCTCCCTTCCCCTTAGCTTCCAGCACAGCCGGGGCTAAGCGTTTCAAAGAGACTAGTGTTTGAATGACTGGGATGTGGGAGCTCAGAGTCTGTAGCTATGGATTAAGCTCACAGCAAATAGTAGCATGGAAGAAACAGAGGTAATCTCTTCCTTCTCCTCCACGGCCCTCTCACCATACCTGTTCCCCCCTTTTTTTAATCTTCTTACTGAATTAGTTCTCGCAAAGCTGCTCAAACAGAGAGGGGTTTATTCACAATGGTTACAGAGGTTAAAGTAACATGAAAACGATACCGTCTCAAGTTCCCGTGAGGTCCATTTGCCCAAAGATTGATGCGCCGCTCACCTGGTTATTGTTCTCCGAAGCAACATACAGGTAGAATACATTTTGCTGCCATCCACAGATTTGCTGCTTAAATGAAAAGTACATGAGGGTATTCTTAGTTACGGGCCTGGAACGGCAGCCAGTTGCGAGCAGCGACCAAGTGTAACATTTTGGTACTTGCGTATAGATTACATAGTGTAACCTGACACAGCAGCATGTCATAAAAACGTCACCGTACTCACTCACTCAATGCAGTCTCTGGTTTAATCACCTACAGTGCTCAGGGTAATTTACCCTGCAGCGCACCGTATTTGCATAAAAGTAGTTTCGTTTTTGCATTTTGATGCATTGCCTTGCAGTTTCTCAGAAGATTCTCGGCATAAAAGGACATTCCCACACCTGAACCGCCGCACTGACTGCCTAAATATTTCAGTCTGGCTCTCGCTGCTTTGCTTTCACTGCCTTCTGTACTGTGAAGATCAAATAATGAGCCAGAGGATTCTTATATGCAATATTTCACACTGGCTGAATATTGTAATTTGTCTTTCTGCTCGCATACCTTCCTATGACATAATTACCAGTAAGCCTCTGATATCAAGTGTTCATCATCAATGCTTCTCCCCACACGTCTCCATCTGACTCTTAGTAATGAGAAGTGTAGTTCATAGGCAGTTTACTAGATAGCCAACAGGATGAGCTGCTGACTCAATAGGCTACGGTGCTTATTATGAGCATGTTGTTGCATCATACAGGCTTTCAATTCACCTCATCATTATTGCATGTCATACGCTATCATCTTTTCTGTAATTTTCAATTGTTTTTTTGTTGTTGCAACATGCCTTAATCCATCCAGATGCATTCCCTGAGGTTCTGCAACAGTATGTTCTGACCATTAAGTTACAGCTTAATAGCTTAATGTATTTTCTCAGCCGAATTTAAAACAATCTTAGAGGGAATTAAACCTGGGATGAAAGATGGCAGGTTCACAGATTCACCGAGCTTCATTTACTCAAGCTCAGAGCGAGAGAGCAAGTTTCCAAGTAAACAAAGTATTATGCAAATACTAACCAGGCGGCTACAAAAGAGCTACAACTTCCCTGACATCTGTAACACGATTATATGTTGTGTAAATTTCCTTTGCAATTTCATTTAAAATGCTATATTTAATCTCCTTAATCTGTATCAACATCATTTTCTAGGCTTATGGTTTCATGTAATAGTAATGTTGTGAATATGTCGTGTATTATACTGTGACAAAGAGGAAGGACAGGAGAAGTCAGAGGGTTTTATCATTTACGCATGATGTCTGTTTCATACATTACATTTTCTTCTGCCACAAAACTGCTTTAGAACAAATACAAAGTCGCATACTGTTGTTTGCAGTCTGGATTTAATCTGGTGTAGTGGTGCCTATCAAGCCAATATAATTTACACCACCATAACCTTATGGCCACATTAAGAACATGTTTTAGATAGTCATAAAGGCTTGAATAAGCGTCCATCTAAGTGTGGGTGGACTTATTATACAATCAGGCCACTCAAACCTATAATGGAAATAATTGTTATACAACACAATGATTATGTCCATGCCCTAATTTCTGCTGATCGAACACAGAGAACCCCCTTGGAACTCCCGAAGGAACCCTTGGATGTCCCCAGACTGCAGATTGGGAAGCACACCATTCCTGCTGCGGGGTTTAAAAAGCTGGGGCACAGGGCAAGATATTGCAACCCATATTTCAAATATTTACTGTACACTCCATTCCACTTTGAGTTGTCTGCTGGTGAACTCGGAGTTGGGGGAAGATGTCCAACATGGTCAAAATGGGGAAGATGTCAAAACCTGATGGATGATGTCTGTCTGTGTGTGTGTGTGTGTGTGTGTGTGTGCCCTGCATTTATTACCAGTGACAGCACAGTCAGTGGGATAAGCATGATGTGGCATCAGCTCTAGCAGACAGACAGACAGATTCGAATAGTTCCGTGTGTGACAAAGTGTGCCTTACAGTGAGAGTGAATGATGTTTTACCTTTTTTTTATTCTTGTTCCACCACTTTCCTTCCTTTCTATGGTAAATTGTAGGCCAGAGGTGTCGGAAATACGTCAGTTATGTGGGTTCTCTGAAGCTTGACTGTGTCTCTTAATTTCGGATGAAGGGAATAAGAGGGGGGGGGGGGGGAGATTGTAATCACTCCTGTCGCTTTAAGGACACTTATCAAAGCCTTCTTATGCGAATAGAAAATACCACGAGCCCCTGAGCAACTGAGCAGCAAAGGGACGGACCGGAGTGGATTTAGAGGAAACTCAACATGATCTAAACTGGAATAGACCGCTTCATCGCCTCATGGAGTTTGGCTACACACTGGATGGTTGTTTTATTCGGACGGTTCGGATCATTTGGGGGAATATTGCGCATAAGTAGCTTTCAGACTTGGGATCCTTTTGCCCCTGAAGCGGAGAGAGGGAATATGGTTGTGAAACTCAACGCGTACGGGATTATTCACTCATCCAGCGGCCACGATCGAAAGGCTACGTAGTTGCTCGCGAGGCGTTTTGTTTCGGAAGGATAGTATCCAAAGCTCTTTATTTGACAGCCCTGGATCATGGATCGGGGTGGTGGAAAACAACAACGGGCAGCGACATGATTCCCCTGCGCTGTCTGCGGTATGCAGCGAGCTTAGGCTACAACATCGCTTGTTATTATTCCGATGCAACAAAAAGTTACAAAGCGGGTATAATGCGCGGATTGTAACTATTTCGCCGTTTTGCACCTGCTTTCGCGGATACCGCGTCGACATAGCGCAGATTCGTGACAAAATAACGTGTGTATCCGCGTCGCTTTGCTCTCTCTCTATCGCCCGAGTGGGATACCTGAACATTTGCTTATCGTAATGGAGATTGGGGAGGTATATACTCAAGGTCATTGAGTGTTATATGGCTATATTTGCGTTGTTATTTACACACACACGCGCGCGCGGCGCTATCGTCACGTTATAGCGCAGCCTACAATTTGTCCGTCCAGTGTGTGTTACTTGTTATAACGCGGTGCGGCGGAGCGTTCAGGCGAGCAACCTACTGTGGAGTTATATTTTGTATTTTCTCTTTTGACACTGCAAGCTTTCTCGAACAACATGGATGGGAAATTGAAACCGGGTCGGAGATGCCGGACCAAGCGGGAGAGGGTGCGGAGGTTGCGGGAGGCAGGAAGCAGAGACGCCCGCAGCCCCGACCCCAACTCCTCCTGCTCCGACAGGGAGGGACACAGTCCGGGGAGGGACGCCGCCTCTCTGCCCGGTAAAAAGGCGCCGCACCCCGCGGCAGCCGCCAGAGCTCCGCGTCCCCCCCGGCGGAAGAGACGGGAGTCCAGCTCGCAGGAGGAGGATATCATTGATGGATTTGCTATCGCCAGTTTCATCAGCCTGGACCGTCTGGAGGTAGGAAGGAACCGGATCATTACCTGTTTGTTTGTTTGTATGTGTGTGTGTGTGTGTGTGTCTGCAGCATTCTTCAACAGTGGAGTGGTTCTCAAAGAGGGGGTCCTTGAGGCCCCCCCCCCCCTACTCACTCCAGCAACGTGAGGACTAGTCTAATTTGTCTCTAATTGACTTGAGATGATGCCAATTAGACTGGATTAGGATGACTCCTCTAATCTTCTGATAGTGTAGATCAGAGATTGTCAGAGGCTCGGCCCCCCCTTCAAGATGTCCCTAATCGAGCCTTGGTCTGATTCTCACCACAATGTTCAAAACTAATCAAAAAACAACCCCAGAACCAATGTTTCCTTATTGGGCTACCTGCTTCATGGATTGGAATGTGTGTCTGTTTGGAGTCCTTGACATGAAACTGTAATCACTGCAGCACACAACTCTGTTACAACTCTGTTACAAGCTGAAGGTTTTGTGAATGAGATGGTAATCATCGGCAGCATACGGTTTGTTGAGGAAACTAAACAGGTGCTGCTGTGTCAGCTACGGCTCTGGCTTTGGAAGTTCTGATTCACTGCGAGTCGTCGGTGCACTCTGGACATTTTGCTCTTTGATAAACTGCCATTTATCAGTTACAGGCTGATGCAGCGTGCGCTGATAACTGTGTTTCTGTCATTACTGTGGGGGTATGTCTGATGTCAGAGGAGTGATTTTTAGAAACAAAGGAGGTTCTCTTGTGACACCCTCTTATCTCTTTTATCTCATTGTGTTCCAAATGACAAATAAAGCATTGCTCCCAGTGGGACACCAGGCTGACTGACAAAGCAGAGAGGCAGCAGGCCTGTGTTATTTTTCCATGGCTCATTGTGGGAATGGTAGCACGACTGTAGTTGAAACATAAATCACTAGCTTTGATAAACATAGCTAGCCCACTGACGTCTGTATATTTTAAGATGATGACCTCATTTGAAAGCCTGTGGATCATACCACGGGCCACCTCATTTCAATGACAACCTCCCATGTGGGCTTAGCAATAGTATTAATCAGCCATGATTGACTCTTGCCTCCTACATAGTGCTTAGTCAGTGTAACGCTTGAATACAGATTTGCAGCAAAATAACTGCATGAAATATAAACCATGCTGTCCACAGATTCACTCACTTCAGCACCTCCCTTCTGTTAACAAGTTTGACCCGAGCGGGTCATCAGTAGTTATATTGCTATTCCATTCAGCTCGGCCCCTCATTGTGCTTAAGAGTGGGCGTGAAAGCAGATAGCGGAGGAATACGAGCAGGGGTGTCAGTGTGAAGTAAGTGTGCATGAACCGCACCGACAAAGAACTACCGTATTGTGCCCTGTAACTGATGTAAAAAGGATAACAGGCACTGTGCACACAAGTCCCAAAGATAAACTTGTGACTTGTTATGAAATGTGCATTGGAATCTGTGTGTTGTTTCTCGTTCCTATTGATTTGTGCGAGTGCAGTGCGCCGCAAAGTTGTATTTGTGAGTATTTCTGCCCTTTGTGCTGCGTCGCTGCCACTTCTGACAGCTGCTGACTGTGAAAGACTTTGAGGATGTCATAGCGGTAAAGTGCTTCTCACTGGCATCTTCTGCCGGCACGCCGGTATCTCTGCTGCTGTCCTGCCCTGCTCTGCCCTGCCCTATACTGACTTCGAGGAATATTCTCATGTGTGTGTATTTGATACATTTAGAGGTACTTTGTGTTTACATGTCTCACATCTGTCCCTGCATACTGTCCTGTTTTGTTGCTGCAGAGCAGGTTGCGTTTCTGAAAAAAGCTTTCTCTTTGGATGCTTCATCATAATAAACAAGCTGCCTCTTCGGGTTTGAGAGGGAAATTAAGTGAAATAATTAATCAATTGTTGTTTTACACATTCCCGAGCAGTAATAGTTTTCTTACACAAGCGCTAAATCAATGTTGAATGAACACAGAGAAAACAGTGCCCTACACAGGAGCTGGGGATTCAAGGCTAAGCAAATGAGGCACGATACGGTTCTGTGTGAAATGATACTCGCATGCCAGCCAGCTACTTGATGGTAATTGGTCTGATTTGCATGCAAATGGAATGCGCTTATTAAATGATGTTGGTGGATTTTGTGCAATTGCATGAGGGAATGTGCACAGGTTTTGTAAGCTTTTGCCTCCTCGCTACTTCGCTGTAGCTGGAGAATGTTGACTTTATACATATGCACTGGTGACAACAATAATCACATTTCTTGGCAGCTAATAAGTTGCATTCCTGTGTATGAAATGCAGTGTTTGAAATGTGTAACCCACTAGAATGGTGTCATTATTGGTCATGACTCACACTTTCACCTACTGACTGTATGCTTGAGTGAAGCTCATGACCTACGCTACCTGTGCTAATTGCTCATCAATTATGAGGAGGACACAGCGGCGGCGTTTGGCAAGTGAATAGCTCTGACCTACTGCATCATGCTCGTCGGAGCGAGTGTGTGCTTTCCCCCTCCTGACCTCTTCCAAGCGACTGATGACCAGCACAATTGTGTTTATGTCCGGCCCTAAGGTCAGGCTACTGCAGGGCTAGACTGTCATGGTTGCCACCAAATTGGCAACTAATTCCTGGCCTTTGGTTGAATTCAGCTGCGACTACTTTTCAACGTGTATAAAATAGGGACTACAAACAGCAAATTAACCTATGAATAAATATATATATATTTTTACATTTGTTGCATTAGTGATGTTTATATATTGCTAATGTATGTGAGAGGGGATTCAGCTGTCACAGTCCTAGACTTCAATGCTGAAGGACCAAAAGGTGAATCAGCCCAAAGGTCCAGAAAACCAAAATTTGAAACGGAGAGAACGAATGAAGAAGCAACCAGTGACTTGCTGGATTCACTTCTTAGGGATCTATGGAGAACAGCTGCACTACTGGTATTTTTACTTATTTATTCCAGGAGTAGAGGATGGACACATTAACTGATAACACTTAAGAATATTACTTATATTTACTCTATCTTGTTTCTTCTAATCCCTATTTAAGCCTTTTGCTTTCGAAAGCGCTTGAGGATGAACATGGTTTCATAAAATCCCCGTCACCTTAGGGTTTCTGTCCTCGTCGTTTGATTGTCTATTTCAGTCTATAACTTGTGCACAGCTGCTACTGTCTGTTCGCAAGAGCCCGAGGTTATGGGTTCCTCCAAGAAGCACGTTGGCTCTAAACAAAAATCCGTAGGTGGTTGTTGTTGATATTCCAGCTCTGCGCTGATAGGATCAAGCTCCCTTGATGAAGGCTTAGGCAGTACGGTGGTCTCGGCCCTGCTCCCTCAACCTGTTTCATTACAGCTGAAAGCAATTTCCAGCCGCGGCCGCATTTGATTATGGCGTGTTTATTTGCTTCGAATTCCAAACGTCTCTCATAGGAAAGCCGCTTACTTACCTGGGCAAATTGACTGTACAAACACAGCCGTCACGGGCGCCTTATCGCGATTAGAGAAATGTTAGGAACGATTCAGTGATGATTCAAAGAGTGTGAGCACGCTCACTCAGTCAGGCAGCTATTGTGGGCTCTTGTAAGCAGAGAAAACCTTGCACGTCCAGTTTGGGTGTTTTTCATATTTCTTTCCTGCAATAAGAAATCAGATCATCAGTTACTACTCCCTTCATTCCTACATTTCTTTTGTTGTTCAAACATTTTTAGAGTAAATGGTGGAACGATGAATACTCGAAAAAGTCGACCTCCTGAAAATGTAAGGTTTTCACCTGACAGCAGTGCTATAAAACAATTACCCGCTGGGGCTTAAACCCTCCAGAAGTCTCCCTCTGGGTATCGAACAAGTGAGCAGATAACAAAATGACACAATTATCCATCTGTCACAGTATTAATAAGATGTTTGATTTGCTCCATTTGCTCTGCGAGTGACGGCAAATCCCCCCTCGTTAATCCACAATCCTTCTGTTCATCTGCTTTAACATGAATTTACAGATTTGTTTGGGTTTTTCGTTCCGCACCATGAGTTTCTAAATTCACTCTTAATGGGGATTTAGGTTTCAGTTGATTAAGTGATATTACAACGGTGTCAAGGGCAGGAATCCGAAAGGCTGGGCATTCCGACAAAAAAGGGGGTTTCATAAATAGAAGCTCTTGAAGGGATCTAGACTCCGTCTCCCGGGAAGTTTAGCTTAACATGCTTGCTCTTTTTCTTTATGGCCCTGTTTGACCCACTTGCAGTAATCATCATCTGCCGTTAGCCACTGAGCTGCTCTACCTAAGCAATAAGGGGAAATTAAGTCTCTTGCCCTTGGGAAACTTGACGTTAGTTGTTAGAGAAGCTGTGAGTTGCTGCTTCCCCCTCTCCACCCATATTTTCCCAGCTGGTACGTGGATCAAAGCCAGACACATTCCAGTTACGAGTATGCGTCTCTCTGTTTCATCAAGTGCGCGGATAAAGGCCTCCAAGACTTCTGTTATTTCTGAGGCTTTCCCCTAAAATAGCTGCACTTGCACCGCTACAAGTCCCATCGCATTCATTACTGGGTATCTCGCTGCTAGCACTCAGATAGCACCATGTGTTCCTTATTAGTAGTCATTAGTACAACACTCAGGAGCAGTCCTCTGTCAAGTGGCCTGCACTTGTTAGAGCATTACTCGCCAAAGACAATGAATAAACACACTGGTACCACCTGTAGAGAAATGCAATGAGAGCTTCAGCTAAAATTGATGCTTTGTTGAGGTTAACAGGTGAGACAAGATGTTGGGTAGTTTGTAAATCCCATCTTTTCCCATCTTTTCCTTGTGGTTCGGCTCAGTGCTTCTGATTGCCGGTTGGGTAACGCAGTGCAAAGCGATACTGACACTTGAAGCCTCAGCAGTCGTTGCTGTAGTAAGATGTCTTGCTTCCATGGTGAGGCAGCAGATTTGTTGCAGGGGTTGCAGCAATCTTGCTTCGTGTTTGCTCTTCCCCCCCCCCCCGACAGTGATAGCGCTGTGCATCATATGCCGGCACTGACAAACAACTCCA